AGCACATACGTAGTATATGTATATAGGTAATTCTCTGTCCTCCCCCCACCTCCCTCACAGAGCCCTTCTCTGATTACATTACAAAGGAATAATTTCCCCCACTTCTTATTACTTTAATTCTTTTTCATCCACTTTGTATTAAGCAATCCTTTTGATTTGTCTGTGTTTGCATCTCCTGCTAGACAGACATTGTGTGTTCATTTGGTGCCGAATTCCTCAGTCTAGAATTATATACAGTAAGTATTCATTTATCCATTTATTCAGAAACATTTTTGTGAGCTTCATTTGCTTTTGATGGAGTACTGTGTTGAACAAAGTGAGGTGCCTGTCTTGATATGACATTAAATTCTTTGTTGTATTCACAAGTGAATTTCTGTTTTAATGAGTCCAAATATATACTATAATTGTGCAATAGTTTCTGGGCTATTATATGTCTATTAGAATAGAAACAAACCAGATTTGTTGTGATTTTTTAAAAAAATATTGCTTTTATAACTTCTGCTTTTTCATCCAAGGGAGTCATTTTAGCAGGGATATGTCTGCTATGGGGAGGGTTGGATAACACTTAACAGTAATGGATATCATGTTTCTTATTCCATTTGTGAAGAAGAGGAACAAATTCTAATGTTCTTCTACAACCTGTGGTGTAATGAACGGTTATTGATTCTGTTTTCCAAAGTAGGTCAGCTTTTCTTTGTGGCCTTTCTTTAGATGTCATTAATATAAGGCAGCTTAAGAGTTTGTCTTCAGTGGGGGATGAATGGTAAGAGCAGTACTCCATTTTGGAATATGAAGACTGTATCCGTGTGCCCTGATACAGCAAGTAACATCTAACAAAGCACATTTCCTAACATTGCTTTATACAAAGAAAAAAATGTGTGTTTTGCACTTAAAGATTTTTAAACTTATAATATTAATTTAACTTAAAGACGATGAAAATTAAACGCCTTCCTATACACCTTCATGCTGTAGATAAACTTTGTGAAGAGAACTAGTGATCTAACAAGTGTTTCAGAATGAATTTACTATTTTAACACTTCAGTATGTATGTCCTGTGAAAAGTTTTGATGCTTTACAATTTACCTTACTCTTGTCCTGTAGCCCTTTGATTCCTCCTTATCCTTGTAAGAATTGTCCCAATAATTCTTTTCTCTAGGATCTGTCTCTCTCCTTCATTCATGGCATGCTAATTTGATTGGATTTTTCTGTTTTTATGCACATATTCATTTTTCTTGCTACATTTTCCCAGAAGTATCTGCTTCTGTTTGTAGCTCCTAACTAGTCTGTGAAAGTTTTGATACTTCAGGGCTTTTTTGTGTTCATCTTTGTAACATCATTGCCTTAACACAGTATCTGACATAGAGATGGATCCTAGTAAATACCCATTGGATGAATTATATGGTAATTATTAAAAGAAATTTGATTGAGGAAGGATATGTAATCTAAGCCAGAGAATTGAACTAGCCATGAATTAGAATTGTTGTTATTTAGATCTATTGAGATAGATTGCAGAATGATTGTGAGCATTTTGGAAATAGTATACAGTGTAATGCATCCTCAATTTTGATTGAAAATAACTTTAAAGAGCTCATAATTGTGAAAATGCATGTTAGAAAATTAATTTTAAGGTTAATTTTGATGAGTTATCACTACTTACATGTGTTCAAAATAATGCATATTGCCAATTTTTAAAAATTTTTAGGTAATTTAGATTAATATAATTCACTTCAAAGCTATATAAAATATTGATAAATAATATTTTTGCTACATCTAAACGGGTTTTGAAAATTTACCAAAATTTCACATTTGCCTTTCATTTTGGAAGGGTAACTCTGGAACTATGTCAATAGTGATTTAAATCAGTTTAATAAGGGAGAAATGTAACTCCCAACCTCCTAGTTGTCAGATGTGCTGAATTTGCATCCCCTGAAATTGAAGAATGAATTCCAAAGAACAAGGGAGGTTAAGAGTAGGAAAGGTTTATTGAGAGATAGCTCCTGAGAGACAGGAGGGGTCCAGGGTGGGTTTCCACAGAAGCCCTTTGTCAGGGGTAATTTATACAGCAAAGTCACAATGTAGGTACAATGTGGGTCAAACTACCATCAACCTATAGGATTACAAGTATAGCTGGTTAGCTAATATTGATCCAATAAGGAATTGAAGCATGTAGCAAGGACATGTGGCTAGCGTCATTAACCTTGGCTTGGCTTATCTATGACTTCTACAGTGGGATCATTTGGGGGAGGGAATTGGTCCAGATGTTCTGGTCATCCACCTGGGTGCCTGATGCATATCTGGACTTCTTGGACTGGGTGGTGCTATTTACAGTATACAGTAATCTCAAGTTTCTGTTCATCCCTAGGGAAGTATGCAAGTCTGGCCATTGGGACTTTATCTTGAGGCCTTGCCTTCTTCAAATGCACCACCAGCCACAATTCTGATGTGTTTATTTTTTTGCTGACTTCCTTGAGAGCCCAGGCCTTCTCTGACGCTTATGTATTTCTACTTAACTTAGATACATATAATAAATTCACAAGAAAATATAAGTATCCGTGGAGATGACAATTATACTGTCCTTTAGAAATGAGCGTCTACAACTGTGAGCATGGAAAAGGATTTGAACTAGAAATATGAATGTTTTTGCTAAGTATGATTTCAGATATTGGTTACATTTGATATAAAACAAAGTAGTAGTAAAATAAGAGAATTTATTTTATTTAGGACTTAACACTGACCACTCAAGATAAAAACGAGAAAAATGTTAAAGAAGCAAAGTAGAACAGTGAAACTTGGTTAGTGTTAATAACAACACAGACCCTAGCTTTCTTACAGGTCAGAGGCTAGAAAACCTTACATTTCTCTTTTAAAATTTATTTTGGACCTGTAATGTATCATAAATAACTGGTACTGAAGGAATTTATGAACATTGTAGGAAAAAAGTCAATGATGTGTTTGTTTGATTTTGCTTTATCTCTCAAATGTGTACATCATGTTGTCTTTTCTTTCCATCCTCTTTTCAAGATTTCTTTGAAGACAGAAAACTAGTACAGTAATTTCCTCATAGTTAGAGATATTTTTGTAATTATCTGCAAATCTGCAAAGCTTCAGACTTTTTTATCTGTCAAGAAACAGTTGAAATGCTTTACATGAAGGAAGCACAAATGCACATGAAGGACAAAAGTTAAGCAGAAATTGTGTGTCATAGTTGAAACCCATTATCACGTTTCAAATCTCTTATTACTATTCCAGCAAGTTCCTTCTCCTCTCATTTTCCTTTCTCTTAAGCCTTTCTTCTGGCTCCTTTCATGGAGGAGCTCTTACATTGAGTTTTCAGGAATAAATAGAATCTTGCTTAAAAGAAAAATAGAGAAGAGGATTCCTTAATAGGCACTGACATGTATGAAAGTACTACAGACACAAAAATATGAGATAATGTGAAATGAGCTAGAAACAAATTAGTTCATGTATTGATATTAGTTCAGTGTTATCGGAGCATGTAGTACAAGGGAAGCTATGACATTAGAGAAGAGTACAGAAGTGAAATGTGGTTAGATCAGATGAAAAAACCGTAACATATCAGCAAGAAATGATCATGTTAGATGCAGTGGTTACACTTAAAATACCAGCTCCTTGGAAGGCAAGGGCAGTAGGATTGCAAATACAAGGCCAGCCTGGGCAATTAGTGAGACTTTGTCTCAAAATTTAAAAGAATTTTTCGAGGGTTGGTACGTAGTGGGTTTATAGAGTATCTCTTGTTTCAATCCTTGCTAATGAAAAACATACTAGGAAAAGAGGGGGAGAGGGAAGGGAAAGGGAAAGAAGGGAAGAGGAGGATAGGATCTTATCAGTGAGGGCACCTTTGGTAACTAATAAGGAACACAGTTCCACTACAGGAGAAGAAGAAGACAAAAATAACTGATAGAGATAAAGAAATGTGTGCCGGTAACTGAGACACTGTGAGACTTTATGCTTGATCTGATGGCTTTCATTTTCTCTGTGAATAAGAAGCCAGGTCAACTACACGGTTTGACTGAGGATGTTTGGGAAACTGGAGAGGGAAATGTTAAAATTGTAGGGAAATGGAGAGGAAGACACCCAGAAGGATGTGAGAAGCTTATTGGAGAGGCTTTGGGGATCCTGGCAAAATTGAAATCTCTGAATGTGAAGAAGCATCAATCTTTACAGTTACTCCATTTATCTCCAGCTCTGTTCAGTATTGTAATTGCAGGTTCTACTCTGCTTTTGAAATATTCAGGGTCTCTTTTGCAAGAAGACATAGGAGCTAGGGACCTGAGGATGTTGTTGATTGACTATAGTTGATATTAACATTTATTTACTTTTTTTCTGTTGCTAAGGAAGTGCTGTACTAGTAAGCCAGATACCTAGCCCAATATTTATTAAATATATACATTTTGGTAATGCACCCCCAGAGTCAATTTGTTAATGTAGATAATAAAACACTCAGGCACCAAGAAATCTCGAGAAGGCAAGGTTGTTTACTTCTGCAGAAGGGTGTGAGCACATTTTAGCATGAGGTAGCAAATGGGCAGAGACACAGCAGCAGGCTATTTTTTATTTTCTGAGAAGCAGCTGACCTTCTCCCCATTGGCTGGTTTGAAGGTTCACGATCTATCCTGACTGGCTAATTTAAGCAGTTGGAGGGGAAAGCCTAAAGGGTTGCTGGACAGGGTTGCTAAGGGAAAGGAGAGTGGGGTATGGGGAACTGAAAGTCTTTAGCTGTTGATAAGTTACCTGTGTTGGTCAGTCAGAATCTAAGCTGAGCAGACATTTCTTGTTATTTTGATGTAAGGGGTAGGGGAGGGCAGCCTAGGGTAGACTAGAGTTTAAAACGGAGACACTCTCTTGTTCATATTTTTGGTACTAAAGACCTTGTTTCTTACATACAGTATATTACGAATCCTGCTTAGTACATTATGTGTGTTACCACGCTTATACCCTTATGTACTATTAGGTATAAATATAATTTTCATGTTTTGAAGAAATACTGAAGATACATTGGCAAATGCTGAAAAGGACATCAGAAAGCTATGATAAAGTGGAGAGTATGTATGAACCAAATACAAAATATGCAGCTGTATGAGTAAGAGATTGAAAAGACAATTAGACATTAGAGGTAAGTTTATTTGAGACTTGATTGTGATAGAGACAAGAGGTATGAGTGGAATTTAAATGGCTTCAAATTTGTAAATGGAGCCTTGGTTTAAAGATGATTTGTTCATATGGGAATTAAACAGTGCATTCTTGGGCTGGGGATTTAGCTCAGTGGTTCCGCCACCTGCCTCGTGAGCGCAAGGACCGGAGTTCGATCCCCAGTACAAAAAAAAAAAAAAAAAAAAAAATAGTGCATTCTTGAATAATCAGTGGATCACAGAAGAAATCAGGGAATAAGTTCAAGTTTCTAATTTTCTAGAATCAAATGACAATGGAAGCACAACAGACCAAATCCTATGGGGAACAATGAAAGCAGTGCTAAGAGGGAAGTTTATCACTATAAGTGCACAGATAAAAAGAATAGAGCCATCTCAATTAAATAACCTAAGGATGTGTCTCAAGGTCCTAGAAAGAGAAAAACAATGCAAATCTGAAACTAATAGAAGGAAAGAAGTTATAAAGATTAGAGGGGAACTTAGTGAAATTGAGACTAAAAAACAATACAAATGAACAATGAATTAAAAAGTTGATTATTGAAAGGATAGGAAAGATCCAGGAAGACAAACGGGAGGAGGAAAGGAAGTAAAAAGGATCAAGGTGCAATATTTGTATGTACTAGTTCTCCCACAATGAATGTATTTACTATGTATTGCAAATATACACTAATAAAAAAAGTTGGGGAAAAACCTAAAAATTAATAAAGGTGGTTTACTCTTTCAGTTCTGAATTCTGCCATGACTGGATTAATCCACATTTTTGTTTGAGCCAACTGTGAGGGATGCTGGCCAAGTTCAGTGGGTGTTGGACTGATACATACCTTATTAGTTATGTCAGTATTAAGATTTGGATGGAATTAACTGGATTTAAACTTTTGGTTTTATGGTTTTGCTTGATAATATTTTACTTAAAAATATAAACTTCATATATACACATATTTCCTAGACATATTTTCCAATATTCTATTTTTTTCAATATATTGTATTTAATGTTTGGAGTTGAGGATTCATGTATTATCTTTTGCTTATGAGAGATTTCTGCTTGATGATGTTTTCATTGTGATATTTTAAAATAGCAGTTTTACTTGCCTACCTATGATAACTGTGGAATAAGCTTAAAAATTAACATTGTGTCTGTAGATTTACTTGATTGATAGTACAGTATGTGAAAGAGAAGGTGCACCTTCAATAAAATAAGAGACGTATTATCAAGGAAATTTCAGAATAAAATTCATTTAAGTTTAGAACGAGAAATGTGTTTATACATTACATGTCCAGCCCACTCATTTATGGCCAGGGCACACATCTGGTTCTTTTCTTAAGTGAATACTATTTTTTTTTAACTGGATGGTCATGGAAAGGGTGAGTAAGATCAAGGTTAGAATATTTACTCTTGTCCTTTCAGCTTTGTGATCTGGAAAACTTGGCTTCCCGAGCCTCATACTGTCTTCTGTAAGATGGGTATGTTAATATTATCGACGAGTGAGAGGATCGAAACAGCCCATTTTATTTTTACATACTTCTGTCAGATTATATTTATATTGAACAAAATTCTATCTCTCTGTAGTTCAATTTTACTTGCACCCTGGAACTACAGAACTGGGGAATGTTATGCTAAAAGAAACAAACCAGACACAGGAAGACAAGTGACTGCATGTTTTCTTTCATATGTGAAAATTTCTTAAATCTAAATTTCACAATGAGTTAAATTTTTGCCATTTATCCAACAACCTGTGTTTTGACCATTTAATAGTAACATTTAAAAATTTTTGCCCAAAGACAATGATTTCCAAATACAAATGTATTTCCCAAATACAATAGGCCAGGCAAGGATGATGGCCAAACTCCATCATCAGAAAAGTGCTTTGTGTCCATGGCTCAGCTTTAGTACCCTCTGTGCACAGGCATGGGCTGGGAAGTGCTCATGGGAGGAGTGGGTTCTGTGCAAGTCTGGGAATGGGTTCAGAGCTCATTAGCCTGGCCCATGGTGAATTACATTTTATCTTGGAGTTCTTTGAGCCCATTCTTAAAAGCACCGCATCATATTTGTCTACCTTAATCATAAATAAAAACAGTATTGCTAAAGTCTCTGTGTACACTTTACTTCACAGAATAAAAGATAAATGTAAATTTGGTTACAGGGAAGTTACTGTGTTGCTCTCCTCACTTATCATCTTGCAGATTCCCTTCACCACCACTTGTATCTCCATCATAGTAATATGGTAAATTGGGCATGGTGACATTTCAATAAGACCGACTCATTAAGATATGCCTTTGTTCTGTTTGAATTTTGTGACTTTTCATAGTTAATTTTTAAAAAATTTATTTATTTATTTATTTATTTATTTGGTTTTTGGAAACAGGTCTTGATATATAGTTCAGACTCGCCTTGAACTCACAATGTAGCCCAAGCTGGTCTCAAACTCATGACGATCCTCCTGCCTCAGCCTCCCGAGTGCTGGGATTACAGGTGTGTGGCACCACACCCGGCTCTCTTAATAAAATTCTATACAAATTACATTTATTTTCATACCTATGGACTTTCATCTGTAACTTCTTCCAATAGAGCAGTGATGGCTAACCATTTAGAGCTTTCAGTGACATGAACAGGCCCCTGCGGCACATGTGCCATAGATTCACCACCACTGCATTGGAAGAAAGGCAAGTAATTTACAGCTCTATGACAATGATATGTGCATCCATATCCATTCAATATTTTTGTTAAAGCTCTGTGATCAAAACATATTTTGGACTTATGCTTTTTCATTTTAATTTCATTCTTTTTTTTTTTTTTTTTTGGTACCGGGGATCAAACTCGGGACCTTCCACTTGCGAGGCAGGCGGCAAAACCACTGAGCTAAATCCCTGGCCCCATTTTAATTTCATTCTAAGAGAGTATAAGTCATTTTCTTAGATTCTATTTGTGTAATCCTATTTCACTTGTTTAGAGATTTTAGGTTATTCTATTTATTAAGGAGTGCAGTAGAATTTCATGAAGTCAGCCATGTAAACAGCTGTATACTGTAGCTGTAAATAGTGCTCTATAGTTATATGTAACAAAATTTTATAGGAGTTCCCTCTTGTGACACTCAGAGGTTACCTTTGGTGGCTGGGTAAATTTAAACCAATGGATTTGTTCTGGGGTATCTCAGAGTAGGACATACTGTCTTATACTTGTCATTTGACAACAAAAGCAGCATTACCCTTCCCAGCTCTGAAGAATGCCCTCAGCATTCTTCTGCCTTAGTCACTCCCTCATCAGCTGATGTGACTTTACATTTTTGCCTGTGTCATTAATCACTTTCAGTTCTCCTTTGGAACCACTTTCCAGTTGCTTCCAAAACAAACATGTTTTCAGGGCTTAAGTGGAAAGGAAAGGAGGAGATTTAAAACAGGACAAGTTTTCAGTTATTTTGGCTGTATTATTAATGCTAACTACCTTCATATAGTATGGACTTATGATTGATATATTACTGAAAATTTTATTCAAGAAACTTTTTCCCAAGCCCTAATGAGCACTGAAAATTCACAAACATTGGAAAACGCTGCTAAATTAAAGGGAAAAACTCTCTCTCATAAGGCAATAGTTTATCTTCTATTTCTTCTCAAAATTTGAGCGTGAATTTACATACGTACTATTAATATTCTGGTTAGCTTTACTCTGGTATCTTCAAGTGTCTTATTTTGAAGGACTTTTATCTCTTGTTAAGTATATCAATAAAATTACTCTTATCAGCTGATATACTTCATATATATCATTCTCAGGTAATAACTAGCCATGGTGAAACATGGATAATGTATTTCCCTGATTACATACATTTGTAGCCCATTTAATAAGTACCTTGGTAAAAATGTTTGTGTCTTGTTTAAAACTTGTTCTTGAGTTACAAAAGATGATGAAACCTACCTAATGCAATTTGGTTATGACTAAAATTTTCAGTTAATCATCAGACACACTAGATACAGAATTTTAGGCTACCATGAAATACTAAGATACCAGTATGAAAATAGCTGCTGACCTTACCTAAATAGTATGATTATTTAAAATAACCTAAATAATGGTCTCTGAAATTATAGAATGAAAACTACATTTTCCTACCTGATAATTGGATAAGATGGATAAGAAATTAAGACATTAACTAGGCATTCCATAGGCCTAGAGATTCCTGTTTTTTTCTTTCCATTTTTATTTGTATCGATTTTCAATATAAAGGATAAAGGAATTTTTGTTAGATTTTGAACTTTGCTTTACTACAGTCCTCTGCTTTTGCTACTGGTTTTATATTAATGGGATTATAAAACAAGTTATTTTTAAATCAGTGAAAAGCTTACTAAACTAATCTATGATTTAGACATGTGTTTCAGAAAGTCAGAAATACTGAGGCTTGTCACAAGGTGAGAAAGTTACTTCGAAGGACAGAAGCCGTGCCAAAACCAATAGGAGACATTTTATTTATTTTGCACAACTCTTTTTAAAAAAATCTTTATTTGGTAGACATAACTTATAACTATCAAATTAATTTTTATTTTTGAATATATCAGCTCACTGTTGTGCCAAGCAAGCTGATAAATCATCAAACACTGGGACCAATGACAAAGTTAAACTGAAAAGAGTTTATTCACGCGCGTGGACTCCACTCCCTAAGCGAAGTGAAGCCCTGAGTCCAGGAACAGCACAGTTTATATAGGGTGTTATAGCAGCATAGCTTTTATAGGTGTTATTTTAAGAAGAGAAGTTCAAGGGTAGGTTAACATGTTTTTAACTAGTTGCAAAAGTATTTTTCAAAACTCAGCTATCTTGCTATCTTGTCAGGTTGGGGCAATTTACAGTAAAGGGAGGCACCAGGCACTATCTCTTTCTGAGAAGTGATGAACCAAGTTTACAGAAGCAGAACAAGCAGTTACAAAAATATCTACTTTATAAGGGGAGGGTCATGAGGGGAGTTCATCTACAGGCCAAGATGGCATTTCTTGGATTTATCCTGGTCTCACACTCACAAATATATCTAAGGTCTGTTTCTATTTTTTAAAACAATAATAGACATCACCAGGGATTTAGCTCAGTGGTACTATGCCTGCCTCGAAAGAGCAAGGTCCTGGGTTAGATCCCCTGTACAAAAAAAAAAAAAAAAAGACATCTTAAAACAAATGAGAAAATTTGTACTGTTCTATTTTTCTGTAACAATAAACTATAAGTTAAAATTATCTCTGATGTTCTAAAATTATAGAAGAAAATCGGAATTTTCAAACTTACATTGTTAAAACATTTTTTTTTTCTTTATTTAACTTAAAGGGATCTATGAACCTAAATGTGAAAGCCTAAAAGTATAAAGCTTTAAGAAGAAATTATAAGGGAAAATGTTTATGAATTTAGAGTAGGCAAGAACTACCTAGGATAGAAAAAACATGATGTCTAAAAGAAAAAACTTGATAAATGAGATTCCATCAAAATTTAGAACTTTAAATGACATCATTAAAATGAAAAGTAGTCCTTAAACAGACCATATTTACAATGCATATAACCTGTGAACAGAATATATAAACAACTCTTACAGCTCATTAATAGACAACCCGATTAAAATGTAGACATAAGAAGATGATAAATAGCCAGCACAGCACAAGGAAAGGTGTGCAACTCTAGAATCAGAAAAATACTAATCAGTACAAGAATAAGATTGAATTATACACTCATTAGGGAGATGAAGTTAAAAGCTTTAAAAGCCTTGTCATGACTTTTTCTTTCTGTTAGATTCTCTCCCTTTGCATTTAATTTGTCACACCCAATGGATTCATTCTGCTAGGCTTCCTGGGGTTGTGATCCTCATTGTCTTTTCCTAGGGTATTGTCTAAAATTTTTTGGAGTGCCGGTTTGGTATTCATGAAGTTCCTGAGGTGCTCTTTATCATGAAAGTTTCTTATTTCTCCATCAATTTTGAAAGACAGTTTTGCAGGGTACATCAATCTGGGTTGTAGACTATTTTCCTTTAGGGCTTGAAATACATCATTCCAAGATCTTCTTGCCTTGAGGGTTTGCATTGAGAAGTCTTCTGTGATTCTGATGGGCTTTCCTTTGTATGTGATATGTTTCTTTTCTCTCACTGCTTGTAGAATTTTGTTCTTTTGGATTTCTGGAATCCTAACTATTATATGCCTGTGTGTAGATTTTTTTTGATCAAGGCTAGCTGGAGTCCTATATGCCTCCCTTATCTCTATGTCAAGTTCTTTTCCCCTCCTTGGGAAGTTTTCTGCCATCACTTCTGTGAAGAGTTTTTTTTATGTCATCTGCACTCTCTCCTCTTTCTTCATTGACTCCAATCAGTCTTATGGTATTCTTCTTTGCATCGTCTAGCAGCTGCTGGATTGATTTCTCGTGTTCCCTTACAATTTTAAAGCAATTTTTCTTTTCCTGGTCACTAATTGCAATCTTATCTTCTATATCTGAAATTCTGTCCTCACATTGGTTCATTCTGCTGCTCAGACTTTTGATGGAGTTTTTAATCTCTTGGAAATCTGTTTGCATCTGTTTTATGGATTCCATTTGTTTCCTATGTTGGGATTCCATCATGTTCCTCAGATCCTCTATTTTTCTGTCTGTGTCCTCCCTAGATTTATTAATCATGTCTTGCCCTATGGGCACACTCTTTGCTGTTATCTGAGAAATTATTTCTGATTTCATTTTTCCCAGATCCTCTTTTGTTGCCGGTTCAGAGAGTCCAGGTGGTTGAGTATCAGATTGTTCCATCTCATTTCCCTTTGGGGTTGCTATAGGTGACCTTCTCTGCCCTAGGAGCATGGAATGGCAGCGAGGGAGCCTCTTTCTGAGAGCTGGGATTGGCTCATCTTCTCTCTCAGGCATTTTGATTTGGAATCTTCACCTCCCATGTCAGTGCAGACAATGCAGAACTGACCAAACTGTTTCTCTTGCTGCTCCTCCTCTTCCTTTCTCACCAACGTCACAGGACAAATGGGTCAGCAAGAAGATCTGTACCAGCAAAGAGGGGGAGCTCTTTTGCCACAGATAGGCAGAGGATCCCCACAGGGCAGAAGGTCTGTTAAAACAGTTTTATAGTTCAGAAAAAAAGGAAAAAAACCAAAACTTCCTTATCTCATCCCCAACTGTTAATCATTTTATCTCACATGAGAATGAAAATATGGTATGAAATGAAAGAATGAAATGAAAAATATTATAATATAGATAAAAATTGCATTGTCGAAATACCAGTATATCATAAATGAAATAATACCAATATATCATTATAAAATACCAATATATCATTATATATCAAGTACCAATGTCATTATAAGTGAAATAAATTCAAAATTTATATTCCAGAAATAAGCACTGAAAACAAGAAAGTTAGAGTAATATGTTATAGCTTTAAAATGGTTACTATCTCTCTCTCTTTATGTATATATATTTTACTCATTGTGATACTAGTAATTTTGTGAAATATATTTTAATATTGATTCTAAATTCAAGTGAATTTTATTGTTACAAGGGGTTTCTTTGTATCCACAATTGACGTATTTCTGTGTTATTGGTTTTACTAAATTCAAACAACTATATGTAAATAATTTGCTAATTATAGTCTTTGAACTTACAAAATAGGCAAATTTTTGTCTATCTAAAATGCTTTCCGTGTTAGACTACGGGGCCACAGTTCTCTGTTCCTATTAGGTGATATTATGAATGCTTATCAAATTGACCTCATAGTGCCTTCCTCTGTTCTCTATTCTTTGACCTTGAAATATATTTAAATAACCTTTGAACAACACTATGCTACTGTAAAATGTCTGATTGTTTTTGATATCTGAAATTGGTTATGTTGGTTCAACAATAGCAGAAATATCACGATTTATATACTTCAATTAGTATTTTATTTTTCAGATGTAGCATCAGTGAAGACTAATATTTATTCATCTGTTGAACTAGTATATCTCACTGTCTTAAGCAGCAGCTATTATTAATGAACATATTATTATAATATATTAGTTAATAATTGATATAATAAATTACTTTAATAATTAGTTAATATATTAGATTAATAATAAATATTATTAGTTAATATGATTGTTTTGTTGCCAAATACTATACTAGACATTTAAAAAATGTTCACTGACTTATCTAGTAGTCAAAATTTTGGGTAGATACTACTATATTCTTTTTGCTAGGTAGGGTGATTAGACAAAGTCAAAAGTTTGTTTCAAGGTCCATAAAATAAAAAATGTACAAGAACTGATGGTCTCTGGGCATGGATGCACATGTGTATAATCCTAGTACTCAGGAGGCTGAGGCAGGAGGATTGCTATAAGTTTGAGGCCAGCCTGTGCTACATAGAGAGTTCAAGACCATCCTGAACTGTATAGCGAGACCTTGTCTCAAAAAGAAAAAAGAACCAGTGGTCAATTTTGATTATCATTTTATAGTGTTTCTGAAATATTCTTAGGCATCTTACTAAAATGCTGCTTTAAATGTTTTAGTTATTAAAGTTAATGTAACTAGAGTGTTAATGTAGTTAAGTTAAAATTTCAAGTTATTACTTTATAAACACACATATATACACTCTGGTACACATTATTCTATGAGAAGTGGACGGAAACATTGAGAGGAAATTATTGTTGAAATCCTAACGACAGTGGATGGAAGGGACTCTAATGTGTTTTCAGGAGCTGCTCTGCTCAGATTTTGGAAAATTTGACTTAGAGAAAATATAAATGTAGAGGCAAGCACAATATTTATCATATAAGGTTTTTAGTGATGTGAACTAATTTAACTAAATAATCTGTGCTAATTACAAGGGCCTTTACATAAAACCTTGGAGGGTGAATAACAACTTCAGCCAGTGCAATTGAAAGCTGTATACTAGTAGTTCTTTTAGATGTGGAATTGGATATCTGTCATTTTTTAACATACACTGAATATTTAAATAGTTACTGGATTCTTTGATTTTTCTAGGAGTCATTCTGAAGATGTGATGCTTTCCTTTGAAGGCTTAAAAAGGGATCTTGGGACCTACAGGACTCTAAGACTCTCAGTGCCAATAGAGCAGAGCTACTTTGTGAAGCCCATCCGTGTGTAAGGTTATTTTTTTTTGTTTGTTTAGTTATTCCAAGTCATGTTTGTGGATCTGATAAAAATCAATGTGAATGCATCTTTGTCTCTGATTTAATTTTGTTCCACACTAAAAGTGTGATGGTTGAACCAGATTGTAATATGCCATGTGGCTGCTCCTGGATACATGGTTGACAGGCTAGTTCTTGCTTCTTCCTTGTTAAGAACACAGAGAGTAGACTGGGTAGTGTCTGGTGTCAAATCCTAGTTTTGCTGCTAACTAACTAAAATCCGTTTTGTTTTTCTTCTAAAATGAAGACAGTAAAAGGTATCTTCATAGAGCTGTTGTTATTCACTTAGAACAGAATTTGCAGATCCTAGGTGCAGAAAAGTATTAGCTATTGTTATTGTTATATTTACTCCTGAGGGACTATATTCTCCGGACTCATTTTCTATTTTTAGATGTAGACAAGAGAATGTTCAAAATTTTGGAGTAGATACATTGTAATGTAACTAAATCCTCTCAGTTACATAATTGACTTTCCCTTAATTTTTAAAAAAACGTGTTGTTGTTTTTTGATACCGGAGATTGAACTCCGGTCCTTGCATTTGCTCAGCAGGCGGTGAAACCACTGAGCTAAATCCCCTGCCAAAACTTGTATTTTTAAATGACTTTACCTATACTCGTTATCACAATTATGTAGACAGTGCAAGTTTTGTAAATTCTGTAATAATTCATTTCATGGAATTGACTTACCTATTTTAGTTGTCTTATATTGTGAGTCTTTAGGTTTATTTTGATGTCTCTGTTTTAAGAATGGAAATATCTTGGTACTAGGAGATCTTATGTAAAGGTCTTAGATTTGAAAAATGCTTTGAGTGAAGAAAAGCTAGTCTGAGTGTTGTTTTCAAAGGCAGTCTTTTAATAGTCTCTTAGGAGGATGGGTAGAAATTGCTACTTCTGTGAATGCCATATTCTCTGTCTGGTTATAGTAGTGGGTCTGCTTTAGGCCTGATGAAAGCACATATTTGATCAGGCTTGTAGAATTTCATCCCAGTAGGTATATTCTTTTTTTTTTGAGACAGGGTCTTACTATGTAGCCCTATGTAGTCCAGGCTGATCTCAAACTCCTGGTAATCCTCCTGCTTCAGCCTCCCAAGTGCTGGGATTACAGGCATGTGCCACCATACCCGGCACAATGGCTGTATTCTGAGCTATATTTTAATCAACATATGTTACACACCTCCCAGTGCCAATAGATAAATTACTTCCATTCATGACTTTCCAGTACAATGGACAAAAACTCGTGGTTCCTGAATAGCATAGGTTCTAGTGGTAGAGCTAACAGGCATTGTAAGATCTGTTTACCCCTTCTAGCTATCTGCACAAGAAGGCCAGTAGCAGTGTGGCATAATTACCTACACAGTTTTAATTTTCCATTGCTCTTGTGGAACAGCTTGCCTACACTTGACTTTTGACTCTGTAGGTTTTCTTTTTAAAATTTGTTTTTATTTTATTAAAAAAAAAACAATATCATAGCAAAATAAGAGAATAACAACAGTTAATAATAGTTAATACACTGTATCATGATCTTCAAAGTCATTGTACAAGATAAAAAATTTTCTTACAAAGAAACAGCAGTACAGAACTTTCTTTTCAATGAACTAAGAGAAACTAATAGTAGAAGTGAATTAGCATTATATTAAGTTAGCATATATTAAAATATTTTTGAAAAAATGGGATAGGGAATTTTGGAAATTTATTTTAACTTCTCCCCACTTCCTATTTATCTTTCTTCTACTTTGCTCTTTATTTACATATATATGTGTATATATGTATGTGTATGTGTATACATATATTTACATATATACACACATATATGTATACATGTGTGTATATATTTACATGTGTGTATATATATATATTTACATATATACACACATATATAGCGTTTCTCATAGAAGAGAGACCATGTGATATTTAAGCTTGTATATCTGACTTATTTCACTTTACATTATGTTCTCAAGTTGCATCTATTTACCTACCTCATTTATCTTTATTTATGGTAGAGTACTCCATTGTGTATAAATACCACATTTTCCTTATCTGTTCATGTGTTGATGGACATATATGCTGTTTCCAGGATCTAGCTATTATAAATTGTGCTGCTATATACATGGCTACATGTATCCCTATAATATGATAATTTTAACTTTTTGTGAAGATACATAGAATGGGTATAGCTGGGTCAAAAAGAATTTTATTTTTAATTTTTTGAGGAATCTCCATATTAATTTCCATAATGGTTGTACTAGTCTACATTTCTACCAACAGTGTAGAAGAGTTTCTTTTTCCACACATCCTTGCCAGCATTTGTTATTACTAGATTTTTTGATGGTAGCCATTCTTTCTCAGGTAAGATGGCATCTTTTTTGTTTGTCAGTTTTTGAGACAGGGTCTAGTTATGTAATTCAGGATGGCTTTGCACTCACTTTGTAGCCCAGGCTGTCCTCAAACTCAGGGCAATATTCCTGCCTCAAGCTCCTAAGTGCTGGGATATAGGCATGTGCCAGCACACCTAGCAAGATGGTATCTTAATGCAGATTTAATTTAGATTTCTCTAATGGCCAGTGATGTTGAATTTTTTCATGTATTTATTAGGCATTTTTATTTTTTTGAGAAGTGTTGATTCATTTCAATTGCCCATTTTTTGATTGAGTCTTTCATTTTGGGCAGTCTGCCATTTTTGAGTTCTTTATATATTCTAGATATTAACCTTCAGCCTGAGGAATAAATGGCAGAAGTTTCTTTTTTCCCATTCTGTAGGATGTCTCTTCACTCTCTTGGTTGTTTTCTTTGCCGTTTAAAAGCCTTTTAATTTGATATGGTCCCGTTTATGGATTCTCGATATTATTTCTTGTGCAATTGAGGTTCTCTTCAAAAAGTCCTTTCCTACACCTGTATCTTCAAGACTTGTACCTATTTCATCTTCCAGCAGATTGTTTTCCTTTTAACATTTAGATCTTTGATCTATTTTGATTTTAATTTAGTACGTGGTGAGATATATGGGTCTAGACTGAACCTTCTATATGTAGATATTCAGTTTTCCAAGCACCATTTATTAAAGAGGCTATCTTTCCTCCTGTGTATATTTTTGTTCCCTTTTTCAGAGATCAAATAGCTGTTTGTTCCTGGTTTTGTTTCTGCTTTTTCTATTCTGTTCCATTGATTGACATACCAATTTTTGTGCCAGTGCCATGCTGTATTAATCACAGTAGCTTTATAATATAACTTCAAGTCAGGGATTGTGATGCCACTGGCTTCCCTTTTGTTACCCAAGATTGCTTTTGCTATTCTGGGTCTTTTCTTGTTCCATATGAATTTTAGGATTGTTTTCTCCAGATCTTTGAGAAATGTCATGATATTTTGATTGAGTTTCCATTAAATCTGTATATCTGTAAATGTCTATTGATTATATTGGTTTTGCCTGTTAAGATACAAGGGATATCTTTCTATTTTCTAATGTCCATGATTTTCTTTTTCAAAGTGAAATACTTTTCATTGTAGAAATCTTTTACTTTCTTGGTTAGATTAATTCCTAAGTATTTAAGTTTTTTGTTAATATTATCAATGGTATTGTTTTCCTAATTTCTTCTTCAGTGAGTTCATTATTAGTGTACAGGAATGCTATTGATTTTTGTGTATTGGTTTTGTTTCCTGCTACATTGCTGAATTGGGTTATTCTAGGAGTCTTGGAGTTTTTTGTTTCTTATAAGTAAAGGATCATATCATCTGGAAGTAATGGTGCTTTGACTTCATCCTTTCCTGTATCCATTCTTTTTATTTCTTTCTCCTCCCTATTGCTCTGGCTAATGTTTTGAGGACTATGTTGAATTGGTGTGGTGTTAATGGACATCCTTGTCTTGTTCCTAATTTTAGAGGGAATGCTTTCAGGTTTTCTCTATTTAATATGATGCTGGCAGTTGATGAGTCATAAATAACTTTAATCAGTTTGAGATATGGTCCTTTCATACCTATTTTCTTCAGGATGTTAATAATGTATGGATATTGGATTTTGTCAAAGGCTTTCCTGCCTCTATTGAGATGATTATGTGATTTTTGTTCTTGGTTCTGTTTATGTGATAAATTACATTTATTTCTTTTTTTTTGTTTTGGTACCAGGAATTGAACTCGGGACCTTGTGGTTGTGAGGCAGGTACCAGAACCACTGAGCTAAATCCCCGGCCCTTACATTTATTTCTTTGTGTTTGTTGAACCATTCTTGCATCTCTGGGATGAAGCCCACTTTGTCATGTTTTATAACAAGTATTTTTAGGATTTTAAGGATTTTTGCATCTCTTTTCATTAGCAAGATTCGCCTGTAGTTCTTTTTTGGTTGGATCCTGGTCTGCTTTAGGAATCAGGATGTTCGCTTCTAAGAAGGACTTGGTTTTTTTTTTTTTTACTACTGCTTTAATTTTATTGCCTGTTACTGTATTGTTCAATACTTTTAAGTCATTTTGGTTCAGTTTTGGTAATTCATATGTATCTAAGAATCTCCATTTCATCTGTGTTCTTCAGGTTTTTTTGTGTTTTTGTTGTTGTTTTTTTTTGGCATATATGTTTGTGAAGTTCCTAATCATTTTTTGGAGTTTGGCAGTGTCTGTTTTGATTTCCTCTTTTTAATTTCTAATTTCATTGATTTATGTTTTATTTCTTTCTCTCTTTCTCCTTTTTTAATTTTTGTAATATTGGCTAAAGGTTTATCTATTTTGTTTATTCTTTCAAGGAACAAGCTCTTCAAGTCATTGATTCTTTGTACAGTATTATTTTGTCTCCGTTTCATAGATTTCTGCTCTGATCGTTATAATTTCCTTCTTGTACAAGCTCTATGTTTGAATTGTTGTTATTTTTCTGGGTCTTTGAGATGCATCGTTAGAGCATTTATTTGGGTTTGTTCTATTTTTCTGATGTGGGCATTCATAGCTATAAATTTCTCTTGTACCACCGCTTTCATTGTGTT